GGCCCAGGTTGAGCACAGCAGAAAGACTGCTTCTTTTCTAATAACCTAAACGTTATTCACAATTTGGTTCTATTCTGGAAACATTCTTGGGCAAGTTTAAATTCTACATCTCTCTGGTTCAAAATTCTATTAAAAACAACAACAACAACAACAGAGACTGAAAAGTTACATCTAATCTATCAGCTATATAATATCTTTTGAAAGACTTTGATAATGTAAAGGACCTCGTGATCTTGAGTCACCAAATTTTCCCTCAGGTTGTAACCTTTAAAAAGATTGATGACAGTGGAAGACTGAGTCCTAGTGACTCCGATGAACAGCCCCCAATAGGAATTAAGGGCCCCCAGTTTGTGTCCCAGCTCAGCTAATGATCATTGTGTGAATTTAAGCAAGTCACTTTGCTATCTGAAATTGTTCCTTCGTCTTTAAACTCAAAAGATTAGACTATGATTCATATTTGCAATTATTTATGGGTCAGAGATCCCTCTGAGATTCTGCTAAAAAGGATAGACCTTCTTCCCCAAAAAAGCACAAACACAACTATAAATAGAATTCTAAGAAGGGTCAGAGGCTCTCTATAATCCACCCACAGATTCCTTAGAGGGCTTTACAGTGATTTCTAAAGTCTAAAAAAAACTATGAATGTGGTTGAAAAAAAGAATGAATCTATTTACATTTGTTACTCCCAATGTGAATTAGTTTTAAAATGTAGATTTGGGCCATTAGTGTCATTTGAAGTTATAACTGGTTTTTGTAACTTAGAGTACTCACAGCAGAACAAATTTTTCAGTAGGAAAAAGAAAGAGATTTCCTTTGTAGATTAACAGCATTACAGGGTCAGTGAGATTGTTAGTCTATTCCACTACTTAATGCAGTTTCCTGCTGTAACTCACCTCAGAGGTCAAAATTTAGCTTTAACTTGAACACACACAATGATGGGAGCTCACTCACATGTTTAATGCTGGGCAAAAATAAAAAAAATTAGGAATTTTCATCTTTGTATTGAACTGTAATCAGCTCTCACCCTATAAATGTCAGTTATTGACCTTATTTCTGCTCTCAAGAGCTACGTAAGTAAATTTTTTCTTTTTTGGAAATACAGTGGCAGCTTCTTTTGTCTTCTCTACATTTTTTCTATGCTAAACATTCCAGTTTCACATACAATTCTTCTAGAAAAATGATTTCGTAAGACTACATTTAATCTCAATTACCTTCTTCAAAGGAACTTGTCAAATGCAGGTCCCAGAATTAGGCAGCAGGATCCAGAAAAGGTCTGACCAATGCTTGGTGCAGAGTGGTTTCCTCTCTTAAACTGCTAACTCTGCTGGTAGGAATGCCCTCGACACTGCTAAGAGCGCTGTTCCTAGAAGCAGGTGGCTTTACTGGGTCATGTTGAAATTGTGGTCACCTGAAACTCCTAACTATCATCAATCTAGGTTGCCCTAATGCTCCATTTTTTAGAATCAAAATAATCTTCCTAAAAACAAAACTTCCTATTGATCCCTACTTTAATTGCTCAGGCAGTCTTTCCAGCTCTTGCAAACCTTTTGGAGTACTAATATTATCATTTATTGTGTCATCTTTTCTTCCAAGTTTTGTGTCACCTACACATGTAATAAACCTGCCTTTTTTTCCTCTAAATTTATTAGAAAACATATTGACCTGTGGTTTGCCAAATATAAGCCTCCCTCTGTGCATTCATTATTCATAATTCTTCACTCTATAACTTCATAGCTTCATCCAACTCACATTTAAGCTCCGGATCTACAGATGGAGAAGAGCCTGAGTATTATGTTCTATTTGGGGGCAACACATTTCTTTTCCTTTCTTCTTTTACTCAGTCTGCTTTCTTTACTCAATGTCTATTTTTTTCATTCCTTCACATACTCATACTGCATATCCTGGTCCCCTTTTTCATGGGTTCATTTTGGTTCGGATGAAAGAAACTCCATTGTGTTTTTTGAGAGCCATTTGTCTTCTGCCTGGGTGCAGGGCTGGCTGAGTCTGTGCTGGCTCCAGGAGGCCCTTTGCCTTGTGCCTGAGAGTCAGCGCCTGTGCAGGTGAGGTATTTTACTACATGTTCATTAGCACCTGGCAGAGGAGGAGAAGGCTCTGATAATTTCATCAACACTCCCAGACCAAGTTATTTTCCCCCGGCTCCGATATTACTCAAATATGAAATGAGAGTTCGAAGAAAATTTTAAAACAAAGTATATGTGTGTTTGTAGATAGGAGGAGGGGGATAGGGAAAAAGGAATTATTGGACAGTCCTCGCAGACTTTAATTGCAGCATTGTTTTACCCATAACCAAATAAGTATTTCTAATAGAAAAAAAAAAAAAGATTCAAAACACAAATTAACCAACCATCCATTATCCAATGGAAAGATGACATTAGTGTAAACTGCTTGGGGAGCCAAAGAATTCGTGTTTCTCTAGAGATGTTTTGCAGAACAGCTCTGTGATATGTTACCAACTCCTGCCTCATCAAAACCTTTCACCTGGAATAGTTAATGTCACACTCAAATAAAGCTAAAAAAAGCACCTTCCAAGCTTTGCCCAAGTGAGTGATTCTACTTTAAAAAGTTTGCCTTTTATAACTTTGTGACCATTAGTACTACAAAATAAATCAAATGTGGATCGGGGTAAGTAAATAGACCTATATTCAAGTATGGGAAGTTGATTAATGGTTGATTAATGGTCAAGTTGTACATTTTGGTTACCAATTTTTTTAATGTTTTAACCAACGCCATATATAGACAAATCAATGTTGGCATTAAGTTACTAACCCTAATTTAAAGAAAATTGTCTTGAACACAACTTTGGCACTCTGTAGTCACCTTGTAGGGGAGAGGGATGAGCTGCAGAGGCAATAGAACCTTCACAAAGCCCAGAAGATGTGAGCTCAGGAAAGAGAGTCGAAGATAGCTAAATGATTATAGTGCTTTAATATTTTAGAGAGATTCCCAAGATTATCTAAGCCAGGTTAATAGATACTGTAAACCTACAATAAAACCTAGAGAATGTTAGGAAAGTCTAGATCAGCATCTAAAAAGTTAAAGGTGAAAATAAGTTGGAGTCTCCTGACAATGGAATTTTATGACTTATTCATTCAATCATTCAGTCAGTCTGTCAGTTTAAACCAAGGGACTATGATGTGTCAAAACTTCTATTAGAACTACACTATCCTTATACCCTTGAACAAATCACTTACCTTAAGTCTAAATTTCACCATCCAAGTACTTATCCCATGGACTTGTAAGATTGCTGACTTAGATATGTAAGCCTCTAGCAGAGTAATTAATTGGATGCTTTTTGAACTCCCTTTCCTTACCCTAGCATTTAGACTTTTTTCCCCATGTAATTTATAATAATATGAAGTAAGTTCCATTTGTTAAAAACAAACGTCTCTCTACAGTCTTGGGTTATCAGGAATTGTGAGTGATGTGTATTTGCAGATCAAATTAAGGTATTTAAATATTATTACAACTGATCAAATATTTTTGCAAGGTAATTCACCAAGCCCAAGGATCTCATTCTTTGCCAAATAGTATTCTGAGGCTTACTAACTGCAGCCTCATGCAAATTCACACCTTTTTTTTTTTTTAGTTTCTTCGTTCATAGTGAACATGAGCAGTGACTTCCTTTCATTTTTCAATTCTAACTGGTATGTTTTTTAGTAATACTTACAAAATCTCATCAATCAATTTCTAACATATAAAATATGTATAAAATTTCCCATATTAAGCATCACTATATGCACAGAGTGTTCAGCTAGTATGATGTTTTAACAGAATAGATCCAAGCGAAATTAAGGATAATTCTGTAGATTGTGCATGGATATAAGTACTTGCCTTCTGAATACACTCCAAATTTAAATTAATTTTCAAAAAAGTTCAAATATACATTATTGTGAGACAATCCAAAACATATGCCAAATTTTGTTACTTCATTAATTGCATCAACTATTTATGCAATAAATATTAATAAGCACCTACTGTTTGCCAGGCATTGTGCCTGGGACCACAAAGTGAAACTATATAATCCTGACATCAAGAAATTTGCTTTAATAAAAAAGATATGTAAACAAATACAGTTCTATAAGATAATTGATACAAGAGAAAGTCTTCCAAGAGCAGTGGGGGAAATATGAGAAAGATCTAGGTAAGTTTACTGGGGAATTAAGAAGACTTCACAAAGGAAACAAGCTGAGACCAGAAGAATGAGTGGGAGATTATCCACTGGGTGAGCAGAAAGAGGCTATTTGTCAATGAGAATAGACCAAGAAAAGCATGGAGGCTTGAGGGAGCCTGGGGTGATCAGGGAATGTAGAAGAGTAGGTAGTGTTGTTAAGGAGTAAATTACTGTAAAAGGAGGAAGCAGGAAAGGCTGGTGAGAAAAAAGGCCAACTAGTAGGGAGAGGCGGGACCACATAAGCCTGGACAGCAGGGAAAGGTGTGCCAATGTTTTTCCTCTTTGTAGGTGGCGAGGGAAGTTATTGAAGAATTTTGAATACAGAAGTTTCATGATTAAATGGGGATGTTTCTATTTCTAATAATAATATTGTGATTCTTTTGTTGTTAACAAGTAACAGAAATGGCAAACACAATCTCTTTGTTCCTAGGAGTTTCCATGGTTCTAGCTGTAATAGAGTTCGGGGATGCCAAAAGAAATATTTGAACTAAATGATATATCAGAATTACAATAAGAGCTGGTGAGCAGATTTTTAGTTAACAGGTTTTTAACGGGCTGTGATGCAATTTTTAATGGAGAAGATTAAATTATAAAAGCTAGCCCATTTCTAATGGAAATTTGGCTGAATGTGTTTTTATTCCTCAGTAAATTAAAAGATTTATATAGGATTAGCTTGTTGAGATTCTTGGAGAAAATACATATACGCCATTGAAAACTTTCCACTCATTTTCTTTATCTCTTGCAGCAAAGGTGTAAATCTGCCAGAAATAAATTTTACTTAAATTGAGCATAATTTTTATAATTTCAGGGGTTAAGCATCTGAAAGGCCAGAATGAATCAGCATTCCCTGAAGAAGAAGAAGGCGTAAACGAGAGAGAAGGGCAGTGGGACCATTAATTATGAGTCTGCAGCAAGAAGGCTTCTTGGGAATGACTGAACTGTTCACTTTTGTGAATATCCCATGGAACGCCACTGCTTGACTTCCAGAAGCATTGCCGTCTCTGCTCTCCACACTCTGTACAGCAACAGTACACCTCCTGGGAAGCCCTCTTGATGGAACTTTAGAACTAAGTACAGATTGTTCCGTATCACTTACAAGTAAAGAACAAGCATTTATTTTACAGTGATTTTTCTTTTTAATGACATAGAAATTTGCAAACATGTGAGTGTTCTAACTTTAATATTGCAGAGCTTAATCCCTAATGTTCTACTGATATAGTTTGCCTTCTAATCACATGTAAATAGCACCAATTTAAGAGTAAAAAATAAATATTAAACACATTTAGACATGAACGTGTGTCTGGGTTTAACTTATGGAGGAACACTTAATGAAACTTTTAAAAACTGCATTTATCATGTTTCTGTATACAGAATAGTACATGGTATTTATTTCAAAATGATAAAGAAATACCAGATTTCTAGATATCGAACATCTTTTTCCCTCCAACAACATGTTAATCGTTTTAAAAAGTACAGAATTCTCTTCATTTTCTAAAATGTGAGAGATTTCCTAGCATTTCTACTACTTATTAAGAAAGAAAAAATGCTAAATCTAAAATAAAATTTGCAAAATCTCCCCTGCAACTGGGAGTGGAGGAATGCCCAGTTTAGTTCTCACAGTGATGATATTAGTGAGTTTCAGATGTTTCATGGATGAAAAAATAAAAATAAAAAGATTTCTTGAAAGTCAGTAAAAAGAGAAAATAAGACAGGAAGAAAAAAAGCAAATGTGAACTCCACTATAGGATCTTAATATGAAGAGTTGAAGAAATAAAACTATTGTTTTTAATTTTGAATGTGAGTTTATATAATGATATAGATATTAAGAGAAATGTGTGAGTTTATAAGGTAATACAGTAGAGATAATAATTTTCCTTAATATACTTCCCCCCTAAAATAAATGCAAAACACACTGATAAGTAGTATCACAAGTATGACTCAATACTCTCATTTTGTTTGTTTGTTTCTTTCTTTTTTTCTCTTTCTCTCTCTCTTTCCCCCTTCCCTCCTTTCTTTTCTTCCTTCCTTCCTTCCTTCCTTCCTTCCTTCCTTCCTTCCTTCCTTCCTTCCTTCCTTCCTTATTCTCCCTTCCTTCCTTTTTTGCTCATCTCCCCCTGGCCTTTTTTTTTTAAAGACAGTTAGACCCAAACTTTTTGGAGTTTCTAGACCACCTGTTGTTAACTGTTTGATTTCCTGAGTTTTACCCTACTTAAAACCTGGTTAAGGCACATATTTGTTTTAAGTGACTTCGAATTATTTGTGTTTGAAATACATCCCAATACCCCTTGAGATTATCTGAGCACCCTGAGGTACTAAAAATAAAATTGCCCTTCCCTTTCCTTGAACAGACAACTTTTATAAATGTTTGCAAAAGAATTCATACAAACAAGAGAAACCAAAGCTTTTGCTGATTTTGTAACATGATTTGGGAAATCAACAGCATGGCTTCTGGATTCTTCTATTCTGGTCTCCATTCTTAAAAACACAAAGAGATTAAAATTAAAAGCATAAGTTTTTCTTTAAAAACTGTTGTTTCTTCTGTTCTCCACTCTCAAAACACAGAGATCACAAAAGCATAAGTTTTCCTTGGGAAATGTGTTGGCTTTCTCAGAAATTTGAGGGAAACCAGCTGAGGTAATGGCTTTTCAGTTTCCTTTTCACACAGTACTTATAGTTTACAACGAAATTTTTTCAAGACAACAACTTGGCTTTAGTTTGGCTAAATGGGCAAAGAATTTTTCTGACAAAAAAAACAAAACAAACAAACCCAAAACTTTATCTTTCCCAGACCGTTTTTATAATATAACATAACATAACAGTTAGTAGATGGGCTTTGAGTTACTCTGATTTGGGTTTAAATTAAACCTCTGTCAAATTTTAGACTTAGTTTCTCCATTTGTAAAATAGATACAATCATACCTATTCCTATTGGGTTTTTGTGAAAATTAAATAAGACCTATAAAATGCTCAGCTCAGCTAAGTCAGGATTTAATAATTGGCGCCTATTCTTATCATTAGAGTGAGAAAATACCTGAGGTTATCGACCCAAACTTTATCTAATATACAATCATCTTCAACGTCACAGACAAGTGATTGATCACCTCACCTCTTCTTGAATAACTCCAGCTGAACCCCAAACCCAGATGTTCCTCTCTGTGTTTAACTCTCTCTTACATGATACTTCTATTCCTGTATCACAGCCATTCAGACACTGATGAGCACTCTGACATCATCTCTAAGTGATCTCATCTCTGTGATAAAACATGATCCATTCTTCTCAACTTTTCTCATCATCCTGGTCACTCAATTTTCAATCCTTTTTAATTGAGTATACTGAATCTAAGCAAAATTATGTCAGATGAATAAAATGGGGATTATTTTTTAATACCTCAAAACTTGAGAAACTGCCTGGCAGGGTAGAGCAGGATTCCAGGTCAAAATTTTTTCTATTAGACAATAAGTTGTCTAGGGTAAGGGTCTTTATAAAAAACAAAATTCTCAAGCTTTCTGTTTTCAAAGAACTTTTCACCATCCATTTCAATTGTAATTCAATTATGCCAATGTATTCTACATTACGGAAACAGATTATTTTAGATTGGCCAGGGAAAAAATATTTTATTTAAAATTTTTAAATACTATTATAATACATATTAGAAAAGATACATAATCAGCAACCTCAAATATGTAATTTTATAGCTATTGTTACTTAGGATGAGGCAAACTTAAAGTGTGAGTATATTTTAAAATCAATTTAAAAAAATATTAAAGAACTACAGTAAGGGTGGTACCTCAAAATCACAAAAGTGGTATACAATTGAATAAAATTTTGGAAATACTGATTTTGAGTATTGTCAGAGCAAATAACTTAAGTGTAAGTATTTCAGAGTTCATTTAATACAGATTTGTGATTTCATAAATAAACTACTTATATTGCATTAATTTAAAAATTCTCTGTTTCTTCACCCACATCTAAAAGCAGTGTAAAGTTTGGCTAGATAAGGTTTGGATAGATAGCCTCAGGACCTTTCTCACTCTACTAATAATAATAGGTGCCAATTATTAACAATGTAAGTGCAAACTGAATAGAAAAAGCATGTCTAACTACTTTAAAGTGTTCATATTTCACATGTCATTTTGAGTACTTGCTTTTTCTGAAGAAGAAGAATGGGGGAAGAAATACCCTTACTTTTCTAAGTCTCTGATTCCACAAGCCAGTCTTTAAAGTTCCAACAGATGTTTCAGTTATTAAAAATGTGTATGTTGCTGAAATGTGAAATCTGTTAAAGAAATTAAATTATTAGATTTCATAATGTCATAACATTCTGAAGAACTAAACATCAGAGGAAGAAGCACTTCAGAAAGTGATGGATGGCATCTTTGGTTTTAAATGACAAGTAAGTAATTAAAGTGTGAAACTTTGCAAACATCTCATGTAATTTGCACAGCAATGGGGGTAAGTTTCTATTTAGCAATGTTGTGTTAAATAAAATAATCTATATGAATGCATCCATGCCTGATGGCATTTTGTAAAGAGGCTACCATTCAACTCTAGATCTTTTTTGTGACATTTGTACTGTGAGGCCCCTTCATTCTGTGGACAGACATTGTTACAGACACTTCTCTCACAGCATTTCATACTTAGTTTATGTAGATAATGGCAGTCAGTAAGTACTATCTGCTTCCAGATGAACAGAATTCAGGGACTTTTCCTTTTCCCCAGGGCATCTAAAGGAAGCACAGGCTACTTAGAAATCTCCAGGAGTTGAAAATATTAATACTCGCTGATATTTTTGCTTCTTAAAATGCATAAATTAGGTAACGTTTGTGATAGACTAGCTGGGTAGAACAATTCATGTATCTTTAATTATTCCACAATATTTTTCATAGGATAATTTGGTGTAGTTTGAAAACATCTACATTAGAACCGAGACCAATATTCTAGTTCATTATTCTATAAATATGTATGAAACAAGACCAATATTCTAGTTCATTATTCTATAAATATGTATGAATTCCTACGCCATGCTAGATATTAAGTGCCGAGGATTCAAGTAGTAACAAGATACTAAAGGTCCTTAAATCCATAGATGTATATTCTAGTGTTTAAAGACTGTGAATATACATGTAAATTGATAAATAAATAAGACCTTTTCAGATAGTGATAAGTTCCCAGAAGGAAATAAAACAAGGTTATGTGGCGGACGTTGGTGTCTACTCTTATCATAGCTGTGTGACATTGGGCAGTTCTTAATCATTTGGGGCTGATTTTTCTTATCAGTAAAATGTGGAGAATAATATGGGGGGTGAGGTGGGGAGGTAACCAGATGATCCTGTGAGTCTCCTTTCAACTCTAAGATTCATGTTTCTATCTCTGGTTCTTTTTCAGGAACTGTAGGCAAGAAGCAAAGAAGAAAAGAAGAGATGGGAATAGACAGAAATCAACAGTAGTAAGGGAAGGTGGGATCTGAAGAGAAAAGGGGTATGTTGTTGCTTGTGTGGCAGCCAACAAAACAAAATTGTTTGTATGAGTGTATGTATGTAACAATAGCACTGCGACCAATAGCACTTCTCTCTTTTAAAGGTTCACCTTAGAAAACTAAAAACTGGTGATCAGCTTTTTTCTTTGTTTTTAAAGATTTGAAAGTCCTTCCAGAAAAAATTTTCTCCTACCAATCACTAATTGGATAATTTACTCTATCCTAGCACACAAGCTTTGTTGCTATTAAGTGCTACATACCAGATTTTTTCCTTTACAGAGATTTATGTGACATGGTATTACATTCTCTGGAACATTTCCACTGGGTTCTGGAGTAGTTACTTATTTTCTTTTTCTTTTCCAGGTGCAAAATGGGTTGATAACAACCAGAAGCTGACTTGTCAGTGCTGTGCTCCTACTTCGGCTTGGAAAAATACCAACACAAAACAAACACCACCATCACCTCCATCATGCTGTGTTATTTTCTCTTTGGATTGCTTTCTGAAGCACTTTAGGTATTTTATACATAACTATTGACATACTTTTCAGAAATCATTCTTTCATTTTGTTTATATTTTTAATCATTCATGCTACACTATTTGCCAAGTTCCTCTTTTTGGATTTAACGTATTTCTCTCTAGGGCTAAAAAAGAAATCTTGAATTTAGGCAAACTTTAAGTGATTCATTGTTAGTTCTTCTAATTCTGGAAATCCAAGCCTTCTCTTGCAATGGCGAGTCTTTCAAATATATTTCCTTTATTTAAAAAAAAAATTCCATTGTATTTATTTACTCTTTTGTTTCATTTTCAAATTTCACTGGTCATGAATCAATTTAATTTCATAAATATATATCGATACTCTACC